AAAAAAACGTAAATTTATAATTATGTAAATATCTATCATATTGCTTATAACGTCCCTAATGTAACTGCTTAGCTTAAATCACTAATTCATTACGGGACCTTACCTCCCTCTCTCATCTTGTTTTACTGCTTCCCTGTCTCTGCTTCGTGTGAGAAATTTCCTGATATCCATCTACAAACTAATGCAGGAATTTTCAGTTAGTAGCCTATAAATCATGTGGTTTCACTGGGAAAATAATAAAATTGACAGGTAAGAAACGTTACCAGAACTAAAAATGCGTCGTGGCCGCACAGTCTCCCATCCATCTCAGTTGAGAGCAGCGTGTTAATTTACCTGCAGTTCATGCAGTGACATGCGCTGACGTGGGGGAGCTAATACATCCTCAATTTGGAGTTACCAAAACACTTGCTGCGCATTTGAGTAGAAATATACGTCTCCTTCCGTTGGAATTATCTAAATTGATGTATTAAAAAAATTTAATACTGTTGCAAATATTCATGAGATTTATACTGGGGCACAGCTCATTTATACTGGGGCACAGCTCATTTATACTGGGGCACAGCTCATTTATACTGGGGCACGTGCCCCAGTAAATGGGGTCTGGCGTCGCTGATGGCAAAGACCTCTAGTCTGTCCTATTTGAACAGGTGGTGCAAGTACCATGTTTATGTAACATTTTATTGTCACATTTTGTGATATTTTGTTTTCACCTTGCCCTGCGATAGACTGCTGACCTGTCCAGGGTGTACCCCACCTCTCGCCCATTGACCGCTGGAGATATACACCAGTACCCCTCGGGACATGAGCTGGGATAAGCGTGACGGAAAATGGATGGATGGATTTTTTTTAACTTGGGAACAAGCGGGGTCTTAGAATGTAGGAGAAAAGTTCTTACTTCAATACTAATACATATATATGTGTCATCCTACGTGCATGTCCATTGTAAGAGATATGATCTAAAAAAAATCCAGAAATCACAATGTCTGATTTTTTCAGTATTTATTTATATGATACATCTGCAAATATGTATTTGAATATCTGAGAAAATCGATGTTAATATTTGGTACAGTAGCCTTTGTTTGCTCTTACAAAAGTCAAACATTTCCTGTAGCTCTTGCCCAGGTTTGAACACGCTGCAGGAGGGATTTTGGCCCACTCCTCCACAAAGATCTTCTCTAGATCTGTCATGTTTCTAGGCTATCGCTGAGAAACACAGAGTTTGAGCTCCCTCCAAGATTCACTATTGGTTTTAGGTGTGGAGACTGGCTAGGCCACATAAGAACCTCGAAATGCTTCTTTCAGAGAGAGGGTCATGTAGGAAGACCCAGCCTCCACCCATCTTCAATGCTTTAACTGAGGGAAGGGGGTTGTTGCCAAAAATCTTGCAATGCATAGCTGAATATAATGAATTTGAAAGCCAGACTGAAACTCTTCAAAAAATTCATTATAGTGTAAGTGGTCGCACACTTGTTTTGCAACTACTTTCTCAAGAATTTTAGATAAAAAAAATGAAGATTGCACATACTGTAGGCCTATAATTGACCAAGTCATCTGCGTCAAGAGACAGTTTCTTAAGTAAAGGTTTAATTACAGCAACTTTAAAAGCCTTTGGTACATATCCCTGTAACAAAGATTATTTAACCACACCTAAAGTGGAGGATGAGATCAAAGGGAATACTTCCTTAAATAACTTGGTTGGAATTGGATATAACGTACATGTTGAAGGCTTAGATGAAGACAATAGTTTTGCTAACTCTGAAAGTTCAACTGGATCAAAGCAGTCAAAGGGGCTGTGTTGTTTAAGGCAGTACCAAGAAAACTAGCAACCCCTTCAACAATATCATCAACCTATGAAGAGAAAGCGAAACATCTTTAAACTTGGAAACAAAGTCCAGTGGGTTGTTTTTTTTTACTTTTTTGGAATGACTATAACCTGGATGAATGAGAATCTTTACCACAAAGCTGTGATCTGCTTCCTGGCAATATACAAAGAATGTTCAACAATAGAGAAGAGAGTTTGCACCACACTGAAAATTCTGGGGCTTAGCCAAGCAGGAGTTATGCTGTGGAATGAGTTAGATATGGAAAGAAAAGGAAGTACAATGTTAAGACAATTTAAAGGCATATAGAAATATGTTATCTTTCAAAAATGTGCATGTAGTTTAAACTAGATCATTTTTAACATTTTTATTTAACATTACTGGATGTCTTCTTACTTTACAATTGCCTTTAAAATAAGACACTCTGTATTAGTGATTTTGTGCTTTGATTTTAATGCCTCCTTTTTTAAAAGACCTAATATGTTAAACATTTCTTATAAGTTCTTCAACTTCTACCTTTTATTTTAACCTCCTTTTGTTGCTCAGAGAAATAAAAAAAAAGGAATATAATTGATAACATAGGAAAACCGGCTTTGATATA